GAGACGGAGGGAAGGGCGTGAGGCGAGGGGATGGGGAGTGGAAGATGGAAGGAGCGGTGAACTGGGAGGGAGAGAATGAGAGGGAGACTCAGACGCTTCGGAAGAGAAGTGAGCAGACAGGGGACGAGACGAGTGGGTAGTGGAGGGATGGTGAACTGGGAGAGAATGAGAGGGAAAGGAAGAGAGTGAGACACGAGGGGGGGGGGGGGGGGAGTACGTCGTAACGCAGAGGAGGGATAGGTTGGGAACTGTGATAGGAGAATGGAAGAATTGGACCGGAGGGAAGTGGCGCAGATAAGAGAGAGAGGGCGCGAAGGAAGTGAGGGAGATGAGGGTAGGGAAGAGTGGGAGATGGACAACTAAGAGAGGGATAATGAGGGAGGAGGAAGGGGAGATAGACAGGAAGAAAGAAGGAAATAGAGGAAAGAGGAGAGGGAGAGGGAAAGGGAGGAAGGAGAAGGAGGAGGGAGAAGGGAGAGGGAGAGGGAGAGAGGAGAGAGAGGGAGAGGAGAGGGAGAGGAGAGAAGGGAGAGAGAGAGAGAGAGAGAGAGAAGAGAGAGAGAGAGAGAGAGAGAGAGAGAGAGAGAGAGAGAGAGAGATAATAGGAGAAAGAGACAGACAGAGAAAGAGAGGGAGAATAAAAGTGGAATTCTCACATAAAAATCAGTTTCATAACTAAAACAAGCACCACTGACGCTTTGTCTTCCCTTATACAGTTTATATATTAAAGGATTTGATTGAAAACCTTGCAACTAGATTCTGAAACAAGAGGTATAGCATTAGACGAACACAATGTAGAGTATTTCCGTATTGTGCAAGGATTATACCTAATAGGGGCTGCACAATGGAAACTGGAGATAGTTGTAGTTAAATAGCTATCTGGGGGAATGAAGGTACGTATCAAGAGTAGGTTATTAGTCTTTTATGGCAATGGATCTGTGAATGGCTCATGCAAGGGAGGAGTTCTCGTAGAATGTGATTTCTATGTACCGTGTTGTGAGCAGAAAAAACGGGCACACACACACACATATACTGTAAACCAGCTTTATCTATATCTAATTATTATATTCTACATATCTATATAATCTTACATGTTTGTCACACATACGTATCTCCACATATACAATATACATATAAATATACGCCTGACCATTGCTTCCCCTGTTTATTCCTCTCTTCTTGTCACACCAGACATTCTAATGATGTGTTGTCTATCACCTTCTGCAAGAGATATGTATTGACAAATGCAACACACAAACCCACACAAACACACACACACACACACACACACACACACAACACAACACACACACACACACACACACACACACACACACACACACCACACACAATACAGAGATAAAGCAAAGGACACTAAAGCATATACAATGGCTGTAATGTGCGTGCGCTGAATTAATACAAATACATAAGCGGTGGCGTGACGAAGATAAAAATGTTCACATGAACTCGCGGTTAAAAAAATAAACAAATAATAATAAAAAATATGTTAAAATATATAATAATAATAATGAAATAATGAAAAAAAAATAATGGAGTAGACCAGGAATGTTATTGAGAAATAGGGTGGACCAATTGTCTGAAGAGGAGGGGGGGTGCAGGGGTGGGTAGGGGTGAGGTGACGATGGTGGTGGATATGGTGGTGGTTGCAGTGTTGTTAGGGTGATGGTGGTGCATATGGTGATGGTGTTGTATTGATGATGGTGGTGGTTGCGTTGTTGTTTTTGGTGATGGTGGTGGTATGGCTGTTGTTTGGTGATGGTGGTGAATATGGTAATGGTGTTGTTATTGGTGATGGTGGTAGTAGTGCTGTTTTTATTGGTGATGCTGGTGGATAGCGGTGGTTGTGATGGTGGTGGTGATAATGGTAATGATGATAGTGATGGTGGTGATGAAGAAGAGGAAAATGATGATGACGGTGACGATGATGGTACGCCGTTCTGATAATATAAAGTCAAAACATTAATCACATATCTTCAGAATATATTCTGTTAAATTATTAAACAACTGATGAGCAAAGAATGAGTAAAGATGATACTATTATTACTAATGCTGCTACAATCACCTACTCACATACTCGCAAAACACACACACACACACACACACACACATACACACACACACACACACACAACACACACACACACACACAAACACACACACACAACACACAACACACACACACACACACACCACACACACACACAAGCACACACACACACACACACACACAACACTCACTCACCACTTTCTAACCTACTCATTCACCTACTCACTCACTCACTCATTCACTCACCCACTACTCTCCTTACCTTTCCTACCATCCCATGCATTATTTATTCTAGATAATCCACATTCCTAGTTCTCCCTGCCCGAGGTGCCATCGTCTGAATAAATGACGACCTCCATTCCGCAGGTCTTTCCTCCACCTTCCTCATCCACGCGATCTCATTATCTGATCAGTTGTCTTGTGATTTATGTTTGTTTTAAAATAGTTTTTTTGGGGAAGGATAGATCAGTAGCAACTCGAGGAGGTGTCATGGCGTCCCACAGGGCTATTTTGATGATTGTTCAATGAAATATAACCATTAAGATCCTTATTTCCCCCTTTTTTTTTAATTGAAAATGACCAAAATTATCGACCCTTTTCACAAAGCATCCGCAACTTCTGTGACGTCATCAAAATGTTTTCTTTTTTCAAAAAATAGAATCAGACGCCATGACACCTCCGCGAGTTGCTACTGATCTAGCCTTCCCCGTCGTCTTCCCGCCGGTCAACATTTCTGATCTACTCTGGTTGGTCGGTTTCATTTCCGAGTAGGTTTCCTGTTTGGTTCGAGTAGATAGGCCTATTTTTAGAGGAGATTTATTGCCCGATCCCGTTGACAGACCTGGCTCGGAATTAATGGTTTATCTGTTTTTCGCGGATCGCTGATCTCGGAGAGGTCGAAGTGGATTTCTGATCTATTAGGCAAGCTTTACTAACAGATAGGCTTATTGTGGAAGTTTTAGGAGTATATCTCTTGTCCATTAAAAAAATGTAGATCAATGTCTGTCTCAATACCGAATTCGTAAGTGTTCCAGTAGTGTTGTCTAAACATTTTCGCCTATTGTATCTTTTATTACCTTCATGTACTGTTATGTAACCCCCCCCCCCATGGCTAAACAAATTTTATTTAGGATAATGCAAATGATATGCTAATTATGAAAACACTGCATTGCAGAAGTGTTGGTCAATAAATTCGAGTTGAATACACGAATAAAAAAGATGATTCAATAACAAAATGCTTGAAAAATACTTGCACAACTTAAGGTGAGATTTGAGACGATTATGTTCCTTGTTTGATTACGTACCCCTTTGATCTATATTGCATAACCCTAGGGGTACGCAGACCCCAGTTTAGACAACACTGTTCTAGTAGATAGATTTTAGTCGGGGTTCATAATATAGTTCTTACCTCACGCGATAGATAAATCTACCATAGAGAATGGAACTGCGACCTGCTGTAGCAGATAGGCCTAACTCGTCATTGAATCCATACCTGTTTTAGTGGACAGAGACCTATCTGCAGTAAAACTAGACTTCAGTGGCCAGATC